ATCTATGGAATCGGAAGCTAGGATAGGATCTGAATTAATAAACCTCAGCATACATATATATATATCTAGTATCGAATTCTCTTATTCGATTGATTGACAAGAGAGTAGACAAAGACAAATGTTAATTTAATGGATAAAGAAGTTTGATAGTACTTCGACATACGTTCATCTGTAAGGTCAACAATTGCTGTTACTGATAGAATTCAATGATGATTAGATTAGATGAAATATTTTTCAAAGTTATTACATACATGACTTTCTTTTTTTCTTTCAGTCAATAATGATGTTTGAGGGAAGTAGATTTTAACCTTTTGACAGGCGTTATATATATATATATAAATATATATACATGTCCGGTCAATAAGTGAACACATGCATGTGCGTGTGATGATAGTAGACATCGAACACAGACAAACTGATCCATCATGTGAAGAATAGAAGATCGATGAAAGAAATTTCGCAATATGATGTCAACAGTTTATTCTTTTTTTCTTTTTTTTTATTTGAGAATATAAATGAGATGAAGGTTAATTTACTCTTATGAATAGAATTGGTATTCTTTTTTTCCTCTTAAATACAATAAATAATGCTCGATTAACTATTGATCATAACTGAAATTTGTTAGGTTTAAAATGATTGTTTTCTATTATGTATTATTTTCCTTTTCTAAATTGATCAAAATCAAGAATAATGAAAGAAAGAAACGTTAAAAGTATACATATATATACATACTCTCACGTTCATTCATTCACATTATCAAATGTCTCGCGGCTAGATAGAAAGTGTGTTGGTCCCTAAAACGAAGAAGAATTGGTCGTTCTCTCTCGCGCTTGTCAATAGATGATAGTTCGAAATTGATTGTTCATTCGTTCTCCTTCATACAAATTGCGCCATATATTAACGATTAAACCACAACGAAACGTTTTGATTGTGTATGTTATTTGAACATACTCTCAAAATTGGTCAATCGAGACGACAGACTCTTACTGCTTACTATTATTATTGTTACACGTAGGTAAACGGAAAAATGAATCAGTCTAAGAAGAAAAGAAATAAAGTGACTACTTAGCGGATACTTTGAACTAAACTGATAGTGGTGTTTTTTAGGTTTTTTTTGTTGCTAATCAGTTAACTAGTAAATAGATGTGAGTGATGATAGCTATGGCGTGCGACTTTGTTTTTTTTTTTTTATCTCTTATCTTGTTCACAAAACATACATACACATACATATAAATATCTAATTAAGATTATGCGTCTGTATAGGAAACGAACCGTATTAGTTTATGTGCTCTGATAATCGTGTAATGGTTTGTCAGCTTTACATCATCTTCCGTAATGTTTTGTTTTCTGTATACATTATACACACACACACATACATACATACAATCGACAACGTCACTATACGCGCGAATCAAACCGTTTTTTTTCTTTTTATTCTTCTCATGTGATTTGTTGAATTACTTTATGGGAACAATGTCAAAAAATAGAGTAAGTTTCTAAGGTAAGTATTATAGTACAACATCTTTTTTTTGTTTCTCACTGATGATGAAATCTATTTCACTTTTATATAAATTAGGTAAATATAATCTTTTATTTTAATTAATTTAACTATTCTTTATATGTACTTGAATTTCAACAGTTATATTTTTCTAATAAAAAAAAACAAAAGAAATATTTTTCAATTTTGACATTTCTAGTTTTTGTTCTATTTTCTATTGTAATATAGAAATAATGAAATCAATTTTTATGATTAGAATTCTTATATCGTATTTTATATTAAATGATTGAATAAATTGTTCTATCGAATTCTTTCTCAATTGTTAACCAGTTAGAAGATAATATAACACTATACATTGTCGTCTTCTTTCAAAAACTAATGATGAGATACAAAAGTATATGATGATAGTCTGATTACATTATATGATTTATTGATTCAATATTTTTTTTTTTCTCTTCGTTTTTTTTGACACTTTTGATAGAGTATATTTTATATAAGAGTCATCTATATTTTATTCATGATTTATTTTGTTCAATGAAGTTTGTATGTATATTTATTTGTCTATTAATTATCATTTCTATTGAACTATTTTTAAATCCGAATAATATGTTTGGAATGTGTTTGTTGAATTAATACAATAGTTGATAAATAGTAAGACAAAATATTTTGAATGTATATGTATTGAACGATTAAAAAAAGTAGTATAAAATGTTTACCATGTCACTTGTTAATGTTGTCTATGAAGACATAATAACTTTAAGGTCATATTTAGATTTAATCTTTTATTGTAATATAATGTCCTTTTTTCTTTTGCGTTCTTAAACAGCAGTTATGACATCCGTTCATCAAGCAGAATATAATAATCTTAATACAGAAAAACTATAAAAAAAAAAGAAAAGAAAAGGAAATAGTTCATCGAAAAAATTCGATAATTGCTACAGTGACAATGACCGATGGTCTATTTTTTTCTCTCAAGCCATATACATGATTACTTCTTTTTTTTTATCAAGGGAATTAAGATGTAGTCGCATTTGCTTACTTGACAAGTGATGATAAGACAAAAAAAAACTTTCTTTTCTTTTTCTTTTTTGACACTTCGATGAGCCGTATTACTTATATGAATATCATTAGACAACTTTATTCACACGTTTTTGTCATATTGTCAATCTATAAACATTTCTTATAATGTTGACATTAGTCAACTACTGTAAAATGATTATTATTATTATTATTTCCATATGTGAATCTTTTTAATTGTATATGCATAAAAGTTTGTCATTATATAGTAGACGGACACGATCAAAGCTTAATCCTTTCTTAATTAGTTCTAACAGAAGCTTTTATAGTATAGAATAACGACCTTGACATAATAATTGTTTTTTGTATTACAGCATGTGTAAACATTTAATTAATATAAGTTGAAATCTCACCTCCGTCCATCAATTATGTATGTAAAAAAAGCAAAATCGATGATGTTATTCATTACTGAAAGTGATTTGTATTCATTCTTTTTTCTTTTGATGTATATAAGATCATATAGAGAACGACGATATTAATTGTGCATAGAAAAAATTGCGCCATTCTTTACAATCTGTACACAGTATTGTCAGCACTTGTTTGAATTAGTTTGTTTTGTTGATTTAGTTTATTTGAACTAATTTCGAAATTTTAGTGAAGAAATAAATAAAATTCATAATCGATGAATAATTATGACATTGTCTGATAACTTTTGAACAAATGTTAGCATAAAATAGAAAGATAAGCATAATAGTTTTGATTGTTGGACTTAACCGTTCTTCATGCATAAGATTAGCTATAAAGATAAATATATCCGAAACATAATGTTTATAGTTTCGCCAGTAGAATGATCTAAGAATGAGAGTGACGAGCGGGTGGAATCGTTATCTATCTTTATTCAACCAATAAATAGTTTTCTCTGACGCAAGCTACCATTACGGCAATTTCATTTCAGAATAAGTAGAATTTCATGTCCCTTCACACAGTTTTAAAGTGGTATCATAATGATTTCCGATCTGTGAGTGCTTTCAATTAAAGCTTGAAATTCTTAGAGTAGACACTAGTTAGTTAGAACAATTTATGAACATATTAGTTTACTATTACATTTTTAAAAAGTATTAAACTAAATCCGACGGGTGAATTTGGGGCTGTTGACAGAGAATTTTTACTCCTTTTTCTAAACTTTGGGATTGTCTACTTGAAAGATCAAGAATTCCGATTTGAGAAGAAGCTTATAATTGAGATTGTTTTGATTTAGACTAATAAAAAGGTATTTGCTTACGTAGCTAATGAGTTCGACAAGTGAGAAATTCCATTGAAAATTCGCCAATCCTAAAAGTACAGAGCCAATACTTTTAAGTATCATTCTTTCTGTTGGTTCAACTATGACTGTATATTAGTTTCCTTACTGATTTCCATAATTTTCTTACTAGACAGCTCAAAAATTTAGCAGAATGTGAAAATATCTTTCAAAACACTCATACTTACCAGTTAGATATGGTTTTAAAACTTTCAAAATCTGGTGGTAGATTAGTATGTTCAAAGATCATTCTAACGTATCGAAAAATTCCCAATCAAACCATGTTCTTTATCAAAGACACTAATTTTTCATTGAATAAAATCATTTTCCTATCAATTAGTATCTACTCTAAAAGCATCATTGTTCGATCATATAAAATAAGAAAATCAGACTTTGACTAAGAATACTCATATATTGAAAATTATTACGATACTATTTTAAAATGTTCTAAAGGTACATGACATGCTATTTTATCATGATAAGTTTCCAAAAGGACTACTTCATTTTGGTCTGCAGTGGCAGCGAACTGAAAATAATTTCATAGTATTATAAGTAAGTTTCACTTATGCTCACTTTTCCTCCAGAAAAGTATCTCTCTATTCCGTAATCCTAGATCTAGCCTTGATATTTCGCTATCAATATACATTATGAACATAATTTATATGTATATACATATATATCAAAGCGAAATGCATTCGATCATTGAAATTATCAATGTAAAATATGTTTCTTGTTGAATGAACATGGATTTTTTTGCACTTGCATTCAATATACTAAGATATTTTGATGATATGAAAATGGCTGATTGCTATTTAGATGAATATTTCTCGAAGATAAGTAGCAATATTGATAAATAATTACGGTCACATCTGTTGTCAGTATTTTATGACCTATTGAATTATATACTCATTTCTATTATAAGCAATATTCTTTTTTTTTTGTATCTTAATAAATATAACTGAATAGAACGATTTTGGCAAAGTAAAATAAAAAAAACTTTTATCGATAAACTAACAAAATGAATTAATCAATCTTAAGGTTTCGATTAAAGATTAATTAAATTTTTTTATCGAATAATTATTAATCTTTAACAAATTATACATATATTTGTATATTTTTAGATAATAGAAGTATAAAAGAATGACTGTTGATATTATCAATTGAACATTGATATATTACATAAATATGAATATGAATAATCCATCATCACATTTTGTACTATTTCCAAATTCAATTAAGTATGTACTTTTTCTTTTTCTGTTAATTTACTCTCGAGAATGTCATTGATATGTCTTTTTATAAAATTGATATTTAATAATATAGAATTCATTTGACTATGACGATGACTTATACATAATACATTTTTCTACGAGCATTTACTTGACCTTAATACGTTATAGGACATATACTTAACAAATTAGGACAAATGTGTAAGTAGAAATGCATCCAAGAAATAAAAATTATTTGAAATAAAAGACAAATGAGAGAATCATTATTAGTAGTGTATGTACTGTCAAGGTTTCCAGATACGTAAATGTTTACATGAAAGGAGCCAAGTAGTGTGATAACTAAAAAAGAATACAGACAGAACAAAATAGCGAGCTGATAGAAGCGTATAACTGATTCCGAAGAAGAGGAATAGAGAGAGAGAGAGACAGAACGAAATATGAAGATAGGAAGAGAAGATAAATAGTGCAGCTGGTATGCCTAAAGCAAATCACTGTGGAAATTAGTTCTTTGAATATTAGTTGCCAAAGACAGGCGTACAAGTAACTATGATTTATATTTCTCTATCAATTTTGTTTTCTTTAAGCATGAAATGTAACTGAATAAAAGTTTTTTAACCTTTGATATGCTTTTGTTCTTTTGAATATATAAGCAAAACTTATTGCAAATTATTCAAAAATTTGCGTCATAGCTTTTTCGTTTTGAAATGAATATTAGTTTCACAGACCTGTTACAGATCACAGGATCGTAGTAAGCTAAAACTATGTGACAGAACAATAATTAAATTCATACAGATAAAGTCTATTGCATAGAACATTGTCAAACAACAACATCCTATCTAATGAAGGAACATTTTCAACTGATCAATCGTTTTTCTTTCACTTAAATCTATTAGACTATGGGTTTTCGAGCAAACGGATTCAGAATATGAACATGAGAAATACTGAAAGGTCTTTATATGCTGGTTTTCTATAAAACGAATTTTGTAAGTTAGCAAACATTTCTCTGAAAATAGTTTTGAATTGGCTCAAATTATAGAGCATATTGAGTTGTTTAAAAGTCAATAATCTTCTCTGTTTTTCAAAAATGACTTTTACATAAAATAAAATCATTCTGGAAATTTTTACATTAAAATGTTAGTATCGGTCTGCTGTATAAATTCAAATAACTGTATTTGGTGTAAGAAAAGTATTTGAAATATAAAAAGTTACTATTTTAGTATATGAAAACATAAGAAGATATCTCATAATCATATTCAGAATCAGCATTGTCGATAATCTATAATCCAATAGCTTTCGTTGAAAAAGTAACTAATCAGTTGACCATATTCCTTCGTAAGACCTATCTGAGTTCTGTATCTGAATTTGGTTCTTATCCTAAAATCATCGCTATATGAATCACAACAAACAATTAAGAGTGCTCCAAGTAGAAGGGACAGGAGCACAAGTTCTATTCTTGAATAGTTTTTGTTTTTCTGCAGCGCAGTTCCAGTGTTTTATTCCTCGGCAACTTAATTGACCTTTTTGAGACATCTATGCCTGACAAGTCTTTAATGAATGAGAATGTCCTTGATTTTGATGTAAACGTCAGTTGTTACCTGACGAACTAGATTGTCAAACGGTGAATGATGGATATTAGAAAATGTCTTAGACCTTGAGAAAACTGTCCAAATATTATTTGTCATATTCGATGATAATTACTTTCCAATCATTCTTTCAATCGTCTAGTCCGATATAAATCTAATGTCAGTGTAATAAAACATATTTGATCTACTGCCTTCATATAAACTAGATTTATTGTGATGATAAAATTTCAATAGTTAGTATCAGTAGTTAATTAGAAAAACTTTTTTCTAATTTCTTTTTATCTTTTTCATAAAATTGTTAAATTAAAGAGCAATTTCTTAACGTATCATATCGATAGAAGATTTTGATTACTTTTCAACAATTTTCTTCATCATCATCATTATAAATATTTTCATGCATGTATGTACCCGAACAATTTTCTAGCACAAAGGTCATTTATATATCATTCGTCGCTTTTTTTGTCAAAAAGAAAAGTATTGTCGTCAAGTGTTCAACGTCATCATCTGAGGGCCGTTTTTTCTCATTAGTGCAATTTAACATGTACATATATAAATCTGTTCAATTTTTCTTTTATAGAATCAATAAAAAACGACAAGAATTTTGGAATGGTACACTTGTAGATAATTATAATTTTCTAATGTCAGAAGAACTTATTTGTCAGTGTAAGGTAAGTCTAAAAGATAGACTAAAAAATAAAAGAAAGATTTAAGAAAATTAATAATTTTTAGAACTCTTTGGAAGAACCATTTTGTTCTTTAAATGATCTTGCTGTTCATCATGTATCTTATAATGAATTTGAAAAACAATATGTGGAATTATCTGATTGGTGTGAGAAAATTTCGGATGTAATTAAAAAGATTTCATCAAACACTTTAACTTGTTATTTGCGACAGGTAAGACAAAAACGAAATTTTTTAAAATTGAACAGTATGCTTCTTTTTAGAGATATTACGAAGAATTATATGAACAAGGTTTAATGCGCTTACGAATGTTTAATCAATATTCAAATAAATTGATTGAACGTTTTCCAGATTTAAATATTGTTATACAAACTAAGATGAAAATAATTTATAAAATATGGAATGAACTTGAAGCACGTTTTATTGGTTATTTAGATGAAGATTTCGATCGAATTATTCAAGGTTTATTTTATTGATGAAATCCTATCAATATATTTATCTTTCTTTTTTTGTAGACCTTCATAATGAATTATTTTTATTTGAAGAATGGATTATTACAATTGAAGAACAATTAGAAAGATTTAATTTTATTCAAAATGATAAGATTTCATTAGAAGATTTTCAAGAACTTATGGTAAGATATTTAATATTCAATCGATTTCTTTCTCTTTTCTCGACGGATAGTTATGAAGGTTTTCATTTTTTTCTATATGTTTGGTATGTAAATTAAAATACTCTCTGTCGAATAGACAAAGTCTGAGAAGTCCAAATCTCCATTTTGATGAAAAATAAAACTTTATCGTATACTAAAACAGCCAAATTGTGCAACTTTCTGTGCGTTTTTTCGTAAAACTAAGTTTTCCAAAAATAGCGGGCTTAGATTTTTTTTAATGAATATTTTGATAAAATTGAAGTGTCTATTAGCTCTCTTTTGAAAACATTGCACCTATGAAGTTCGATAGATAGTACGGAGTTATCATGATTGAAAAAATAATCTTTTCGCATGTCGATACCAGTACTTTGATACTCTTAAGTCTCAGAAATAATATCTTTCAAACAAAAAAAAACAAACAGGCGACGAGGTTTAATCCTGATTGCTATCAAAAAAGAAACTTCAACTCTGAGAGTCGTTGTCAAGAGACAGTGCATTTTCAGTCTATGACAACTCTTAATCCACTTATCGAGATCTATTTATCTTGAAAGTTTTCAAAACTTTCGTTGAATTGTTGTCGAAACAATCTACAAATGGAAGCTCTCTTAAAGATGTATAGTAATCAATTGTAATTGATTTAGAAATTACAAGATGAAATTAAATCGAAGAACAGTCGTGTATCATCTGTGATTGAAATTTGTGACCGTTTAAAAGCTGATTATCAACAACAAATTGAACAAATTCCATTTGATTATGCTAGTGATCTTGAAAACAGATGGCATCAATTATGGATTAATTCAGTTGAAATTCAATGTAAACTTGAAGAAAGATCTAAAACAGTGAAAGTAAGAGTTTTTTCTATTGATCTCAATTTAGGTTTATATTTGTACTGTTATGATAAAAAAATGCTAATTATTTAGTAATCTATGTGTGACATACATATTTTTAAAATGATAAATCAGGAGTGTAATTCGTGCCAGTTACCTTTTTTTTTTATCTATACAGCTGTTATGTATTCCATGTGTCATCACAATTTAAATGGCACGCACGTCCGCTTACGTATGCTTGGTGAATGACTCAACCGCTGTCGCCTCTTTGTATTTTAATGATATTATCATCTCTTGAGTGCTTGCTCGCTGGTAATTACTAACTCATATATTACAGGGCAGACTTTAGATTATTAGAAGAATGACCTGTGTGTGTAGATGCTTAATTTCCTTTTCTATTCATTGAAAAAGCACATTTCTTATTTATATGTATATACGTATGTATTGTTGTACTTGAAGAACCAAAAGAGTGTGTAAACGTTCATTTTTTTCTTCTCTTTCTGTTTGCATCTCCCTCCTTTTTTTTTCTTCATTGTCTAACAATTTCAAATGATATTTGTTTGACTAAATGAAAGAGACAAGACGTTTTTCAGTTGTAATGATTGTCAATTTATACCAATTCAATGCTTGTCGAGAGTAAGTTTTTATTCGTTATCGTTCACCTTAAAAGAGATGGAGGATAGAAGAGAAATTAAACATACATTAGAACGTATGCTAGATGACACACATCAAACAAGCCGAGAAAAAGAAGAAAAGAAATGACGATGAAATTGTTCTTTCTCGCGTCAATTATTGATTATTACTATTTGTTACGATCGAGTAGGTCACTAATAATGAATAATAGACCTTCTGTTCCTTATCTTTTGTCTAAGAATGATTTACAAGTATCTGGCAAGTCCGTTTCTTTTGTTTGAAAATGTCGATCTGATGCCCCTAACAAATGATTGACCTATATTTACATTAAAAAGAAAAGATATTCATCTAACATTCGAATGTCTATGTGTCAGCTTGTTGTTTGTCTATTGACATATGTTTTAGTTATTCGTTTACTGTTGACCCACTGCGTAGGTAAAATAACGTTTGTTACAGCCAGATTCTTTTGTTTTCTTTTCTTTCTTTTTTCTTAAATTCAAAATCGCTTCGATAAACAATAAAACAGTCATCTTCTCAATTTTCTTTCTCACATTTATGTGCGTGTCATCATCATAAGACATCCTTCTCTTTATTTTTTTTTCTTAATCGTGTGCTAACTCAATGTAAGTCTATCGAAGAATAATAAAAGAATTGGTACTACTATGTATACGTGTTTAAAGAGACAAAAAAAAAAAGAGAATTGAAGTCGCGTCATAGCAGACAGACACAAGAATTGGATACAAGGGTAGACGAAAAAAAAATTGTAAAGTAATTTTCAATTGTCTTCTCTCGTTTCTTTTCTATTGTTCTGTATTAAATAGAATCTTCAACATTGCCATTGTTTTATATCAACACTAGTGCAGTAAAGATTAATACAGTTGTCAAATAAAACAACATATTATTCTATATGACCATGAAAGTCGTTATACTCGAGTATGTTCTCTATTAATAACGTAATTTATGATGCTTCTTTTTCTTTCCCCATCGAATTCACACATTAGAGATTTTTATACCGTCTTTTTTCTTTTATATATATAAATATAAGAGTACACAAGAATACTGGTCGACGGATTTGTGCTTAGATGCTATAGCTTGTTCGATTGTAGATACATAAATAGATGATTGAATGGTGATAACAGTACAATGACGAAGACTGATATAGGCTGTCAAACGACTAGGATGAGAGTGGTAGAAATTGAGATATCGATTACATAATCATCTTTTTCTCTTTTCTACTTATAATCTCGAATTTCCCCTTTTTTTCCTTCTATTCTCGCTCTCGCTTAATTGAACATTGTATGTCTTCCGAGGAAAAAAAAGACAGTTGATAGTGACAAGAACATCAGTAATATACACGAGTAAAAAAGAGAAAGAAAGAAATTCTAGTAACCTTCAATCATGTAATCGTTAAAAATTCAATGAATATTATTTTTTATTTTATTTCTAGCATTCAACATCTTTTCCTTTAATCGACGAAGACGATATAATACCATTTAATTCAAGTGAATATGAAAAAATTTCTTTAACATCATCTAATAATACAAGTATTCATTTGGATATTAATTCTTCTTTAACTAATCGTAAACGTTCAAGATCACCTAGTATTAATAATTATAATATATGTAATATATCTTCGAATTTAAATAGAAAAATGATAAAATCTAAACGACGTATGTCATTAAATTTTTTACCTAAACTTTCACCTTCAACATTTTATTATTCATTAACAAATATTAATGATATTGACGATAAAATCATAATAAAAAAACAAAAAAAGACATCATCAAAATTAGATATCGGTTATGCAAGTGAAGATGATTATGACAAAAAACCAATTTCAACAATTAAAAAATGTCAAAGTGATAGTAAAATTCAATTAAAATCAAAAACGAATATTCTATCATCATTAACACAATCATTACCATTACTTGAACATATTCATTTGTTACCTAAATGGTGGAGATATTCAACAACATCAGCTTATGATACATGTTCAAATCCTGATATTGATATGAGTATTGAAGAAACAAAAAAAACGAAACCAGAACCATCTTTACTTATGTATAGTAAAAAATATACTAAATTTAAAAAATATATTGAACAAAAACCTACATTAATATCAAATTCATATGATGCAAGTACAGAATATACTGATCCTGAACCATCAGAAGATGATGTTGATACTTTATCATCAGATTTAATATCATTATCACCTATAAATCATTATCAAAATTCAGATTCTTTATTCTATAATCGATATACAAGAACAACAACAACAACAACAACTGGTTATTCATCAGATATTGAACTTGAAACAACGACAATACCATCTAAAATTGAAGATCAATCATTGTTAGATTCAGGTTAGAATACAAAACAGATGTTAACATTTGCTTTGTCTTAGAACGAGTCTAATTCAGTCATATATTGACTTTTTCAACAATAAAAAGAAAGTGAAAGAGTTAAAGCATTTACTACTACCCTGGAGAATAATAGTCGTATAGATTACATCTTGTATTCATTTGTCGTTTTTTTTATTCTCAATAGGTGAAATGTCTCAGATGAACACTCATGCATTAAGTTTACCGCCGTCAATAACTTCAAATGGTAAAATCTTTTCATGTATTTTTTTCGTCATTAAAAAAACATTTAAAAGTATCTTGCTTTTTTTTTTCTCTGTTTTTCTTCAGATGTCGAATCATTGAATACAATAACAATACATGATAAAATAGAAAGTTCTGAACCATGTTGGGATGGATATCAAGTAAATCATATAGATATGTAAAATCTTATTCAAAATAGTCGTTTTAATTTTTAGAATCCTCTTTTTTATCCACTCAATTCTCAAGATATGGATTCAATGGAAACAATACTTAAATGGGATGATCAATTTTTCGAAATAGATCAACTATATAATTCAACATCCGATGATGATATACATATTCATGATAATTTCAATCGTCCTTCTTTGAGGGTAAAATATAAAATTACTTTTTTTTTTCAATATTAAAATCAATTATTCACTTTCTTAACAAACCTTGAAATCAATTTCATACAGAAGACTTAAAATATTCTCCTATAGAAGTTTTATATACATATGATTTCTTCTTTCTTTTATTTATCAACAATAGAAAAGTTTTATAGATATTTCCAAAAAAAAACGCAGTTTTATTTGTAATCTCATGAGATATTTATGATAACATATCTCGAATAATAATACCAATATAAATATATCATATTTTGGATAAAAAAAAAATCAAGCTAACGGCACCTAAGATAAATATAAGTATCAAATCTTTTCTCTAGATAAAATTTCAATTATACAAAATAACAATAAGAAACCTTTTAAGTTTAATGCATCGTAATGAATATCATTTCAAGGATATTCATATTATCAACATATAAACATAAGCTAATGTTCAATAAAGGTCAAATGTTCATATTCTCTTTATAATTTGTATCTCATTTAGCAGAGCAGTAAGCCAGATGCATTATTCATTCTCAACAAAGATATACACCAATGATGATAGTTTCTTTCCTTCTTCTTTTTTTCTCCTTTGCAGTTCTCTAAGAAAAATAAAAAGTAAGCCGTGTAATGAAGATGAACTTTCTACATTTTCTTTTTCTTTTTTTTTTTTCTCTATGTAGTCTTTTCACTGCGGGCACAAAAAAAAGAAAAAAAACAGCTTCTTTTTTTGCACCAGATCGTGCCGTTACTAATTACAAATAGAAAGAAAAAGAAAAAAAAATTGTGGGATACATTTTCTCTTTGATTTGTAAATGTGGTGTGTTAAACTTGCTTACATAGCTTCTTTCTTTTTTTGCATAGATATATGTATATATGAAAATATGCGCAATTAGTGATATCATTGAACACCACGGTTCATTGAATTTACATTCTTTAAATCTATAACGCCGTTTTTTTTTTATTAGCCGCCCTTAATATGATATGTGTCATATCTATATATATACATATACATATATATTTCCATAATAATGAAGATTACTTATTATTTTCGGCCAACGAACATCAATTATTTTGGTTTTAACCTTTTGTTCTTTAAATATACCTCTAGGGCTACGTATTGAAAATTTTTCTTGATGCGTTATTTCAGTTTTTTGTTAATTAAACCATAGATTACAATTAATCACACCCTCTGGTATATAACTATATCGTTGTTCATTATATTTAGAATAACAATAGTTCATCATTATCATTAATAACAAGTATAACAAACAAACAACAATTTGATTCAGATTCTGATTTAGATGATTTTAATTATGTTATAAATGAAAGTGAAAAACAATTATTTAAAACACGACAAAGTTTAGAAAAGAAAAAACGACAACAACAATCTATATCAATATCCTATGATCGTAATCAACGAAAATATGTAAAGAATATTTTTAAATGACAAACAAAATATATTTTTCAATTTGTTTCTTTCTTTTTTTTTTTTTCTTCTTGTTCTTCTATCAAGGATGAAATACTTCGTACATGTGAAACAAATATTCAATGTTTACAAAAAATTTTAAAAAATCTTCATCGATCAAATAATTCTCGTCTTAACAATATACAAGCTATTGAATTATTACAAAGTAAGTGAATTCAAAATAATAGACTTTTGTTTCTTTTTACATATAAATTATTTCGTCTGTCCTATTATCATTAGATAGAATGTCAATTCTTTTGTTTATTTAACCATCTTAATAGTACTCTATATTTCCACTTGATACTGTTATTCTCTTCAATCAATTGAATTAAATATGCGTATATATATATATATATAGATGCTTGATAACAATAGAATACACCATATATATATATATCTTAATGTAGTCTGAAATTGATGACCATAAATATCGATACTATTGCTATTTTTTTCTTGAAAATGATGATAATTGTTCAAGATTTAATTGTCTAATGAATAAGCTTGTTTTTCCAATTAATAGAAATGAATTTTTTTTTATTACATTTTCGTGCAATAGAGTTGTTTAATCATGATCTTTTCTCTTTCGTTCTTGTTTGCATGCTTTTATTTCTCCCTTTTTTTCCCTATCGTTCGAGATCTATGTGCGTGTATATATATACATATAGTTAAGCGATGTCCTTCGATGAAGAGAAGAGAAACACAACTGCTACTATATTCTCATTGTCCTTAATAGAGAAGAAGAAGAAGAAGAAGAGAAAGTGAAACTCGTACACGTTATTTCTTCATTAGAACCAAAAAATATAAATCAATGTAAGTTTCATATTATATTACATCATAAAATAAAATGTTAAGCTGGTTTAATTTATTTTTTTTGTTATCGATTTTGTTATAATTCAACTGATTATTATTATCTAAATAGATGACAAGTTGTTCCTCGATCTCTTTGTTCTTTTCTATCGTATTTTTATTTAATCTTCTGTTCGTTTACACCCATAAATCTTATTTCACACCATATGAAAGATACATTCGTGTATGTATCTATGTATAGATTGATCTGTCACCTTTTTTTTATATACATTAGATGAATGATCATCATATATTTATCTATATAACTAGAGAGAGAGAAGGAGAAGCTTGATCATCATAACAATATAAGAAAAGATCATATGCGTAACAGATGCAATCGATATTTTCTTATATATATATATATAGAAAACTATTTATTCTTGAATATTATATTTTCAGAATATTTAACCGCTTGGCATGATATGCAACAACAAGTTAATAATGATCGAATATGTGCACGTCATTTATTACATATATCACAAGAAATTATTAAATTAAAATTACGTTTAGACGAAGAATTAGCTCATATTAATACATCATTTAATCCTTCATGGTTCGACAATAATTCATTAAATCCATTAAAAGATCAAATTTCTTATGAAATTGATTTAGAAAAAGAAAATCGTCAAGTAAAATAGAAAGCAAATAATTAATTATTATTAAATAAATATTTATTATTTTATTTTTAATAAATAGAAATTAACTTCATTTTATACAGATCTTCATCTAGCTGAAGAACATTTAAAAGAATATCGTATGGCTTATTCAGATGTTTCATTATCATTAAATATCGATGAACATTTACATAGTAATCGTTTAACACTTGAACAATTTTCAAATAAGTAAAAAACATATTATTTATTTTATTTATATTATTTTATTGATTTAGAATGGATTCATATCGAAATCAATTATGTACATTATTAACAATGATTGATAATCTTTTATCTATTGAAAATCATATTGAACAAAAATTAACTTCTCTCGATTATCCAGTAAATTATTTTTTTTGTTACTAAACATAATATATATATTCTATTCTTTTTTTTTTTTTTTTTGCTTTTCTGCTATTTTTTTAGATTGAACTTCAAGAATTACAAACATTAATTGATAATTATGAACAAATGATTCCAATGAATAATTCTTATTTAATTATTAAAAATCATTGTGAATATAAATTAGATATATATAAAAAAATGTTTAATGATTTAATTCGTAAACAAGAAAAACATGTTTCATTTGATAATCCAATTAATTTTAATAATAATAATAATTCAACAAATATTAATTTATCAACATCAACATCATCAACATCATCTACACCACAAGAACAATATACAAATCATTCGAATGATAATTTTCGAAAGAAAAAAACTATATTCAATCAATATAGACAAACAGAAACACGAGATAGTCAACGTAAGTTTGTATTAAGCACGTACAGAATTTTTTTTTTTCATTATTTCATTTCATCAAACAATCAGAGTCATCTATCTATATGTCACGTTTCTGATTAAAATAGACACCGCAAGGTGAAACCAATCAAGTTTTGTTTTCTATTTTCGATAAGGGAAAAACAAAAAAAGAAGGAAAAAAACAACCTTGAGAAAGAAAAATAAATATAACCCTACATATCTGATAATTATTTTCGTTTTATTTTCATCTAATAGAGAAAAACACAAGTAGTAAAACATCGAATAAACACAGTAAAACATCATCTTATATATCCGACGATTGCAAAGTTTTATATATAGAAACAGTTATTGAAGTACCTAAACCTGTCTTTTTTGAACATACAACTAATACATTATCAACAACAAATACTGAATATCATCATCATCATAACATTCCACATAATAAATTAAATAGTCAACAAACATTAACATCAAATAGAAATCAATATTTCATGGATACAACTAATAAAAATCATGATGGTGATTCAACAGATGATGATTTATCTAATCAACATATTAAACCGGTGAATTTAACAACAACAACAACAACAATTGATCATCCAATATCAGACGATCATTTCAAACAACAAGGTGATAGTGGTATTGAATTAGATCAAACATCATCATCATCAACAATATATAATCAACCAACATTAAACGATCGTTTATTATTTCCAACAACAAATAGAAATTTTGATCAAACATTACCATCATCACTTGTTCGTCGTGTACAAAACCAAAACATAAAAAAAAAAGAATATTTTCTAGCAAATGAAAATCAATTACGATCGAATTTAAATCGATTACCATTACGTTCAAATTTAAATCGATTACCATTACGTTCAAATCAACAAGATACATATAGAAATAATTTAAAACAAAAATGTTTTCGTTCACTTCTAATTGGTCTATTAATTTTATTCATTTTATTACTGATTTATTTATTTGCGCTTGATACATGTTCACGATCAGCAATTTTTCGAAGATTTTTTTACAAAATTATTTACATTGAAAGTCAAGGATTACCGACTATTTGAGACAATATTGAGATCATTTTTTGTTTTATTCTTCTTCCTTTCTTTTCTTTTTTTTTTTTTTGTCATCACAATTGTTAGTTGGTATGCCATCTTTTGTATAGCATTTCTTTTGACGTGTGTTTATATGTATTTTCTTCGTTTCTTTTTTTTTTTTTGGTTTTTATCATGTGTCTTTGACGCAGGAAAAAGTGAGATTTTTTTTTTCAAAGCATATTTAAATATATAAACGATAAAGTCGAGAAAATAAAAAAAAAAGCAAAGATAATATTGATCCTTTTTTTTTCGAAGCAAAACAAGAATTGTTGCCTTTTGTATTTAAACAAAAACAAGACTAACTGGTAGTGGGTCTTACGTAAACTTCGTTCATAATCATAAAGACTAGAGATAAAAATTAGACATGCACGTAGGATGAAGAATGATTAATAAAGGATGAATTTTTTTCTTTTATATAGACCTTCGAAACTTGATACGTTTTTAATTTACTTGCAAAATTAATAAATCTTTTTCATCTTGCTGTTTTTTGATGTAATTGCACAGATAAATTCAAATACAGATAGAAATACTTAAGCTTTACTGTCAAACCATATTCATTATTGAAATTCAACATATTTCATTCTCATAAGTTACATTTTAATCGCATACAGTATTTTTTTTTTGTAAATTCTAATAATTTTTATAATAATCTAAAGTAAATAATCGATGTTTAATATAGGAATTTATTGAATGAAAATTACAGAAAATATGAGAATTTTTTGACTAACAAATAGAAACATTATTTTAAATCGATTATTTGTTGCGAAGAATAAAACTAAAAAGAAAAAGAGTATTTATGCATCACAATAATTAATGTTTTATTCTTGAACGAAAAAAAAAAAAATTTCTTAGTTTTTCTTTGATTCTGCATATATGGCTTGATATTCTGTCCATACAAGATCTTCACGTTCACTTGTAAGCCAAGTTAATGGTGCTGGAGGATCTTGTTGTTTTGATGTCATTAAGTATCTTGTTCGTTTTTCAATTTCACGTAGATTTTTATATAGAACAAAATCAGTAAACCAATTATGAAAGAGAGCATCCTGTGAAAGAAGAAAACAAAACAAAAACAAAATACTATGATAAATATACTTGCTTAACTTACATTCGGTTTTATGCGTGAAGCTGGTTGTACAACTAATAAATGATTTGATATGAGATCAGTTGCGTCTTTCGACACATTTTCCCATCGTGGACCAGTAAAAACTGCATTTTTATCTCGGAAAATTTCTTCAGCTCGTAGATAATCATTTTCTTCAAAAGGTAACGTACCAGACAGTGCAGCATATAGGACAATACCCACACTCCACATATCAGCTAATCGATTGTAACCTTCTTTACTATGATAAATCTCAGGTGCATTATAAACTCTCTAAAAACAAAATATTCGAAACAATAAAATGAATATTTTCTTTTTGTTTTTTGCATATTTTACCGTGCCAACATGTGTCTTACGAAATGAATGTTCACCAATCACTCTTGAATAGCCAAAATCAGCTAATTTCACTAGAGGAAAGTCTTGATTAGAGTTTTCTACTTTATTAGATGATTTATTCATGTTAGCTGGTATTGGTTTAAGAAGTGTTAACAGAATATTGTCACATTTAACATCAAGATGACCACAGTCTTTTGCATGAAGATATCTCAAAGCAACAATAACTTGATAACTAAGCATTCTACATATATCTTCATCAAGATAACCATTTTTTGAGCTAGTTATATAATTACATAAATCTGTTTCCATACGTTCAGTAACAAGATAAACAGCATCATCACGTTCAAAATGAGCTTCTAGTTTGAGGATATTAGGCTAGATGAAGAATAATTATCAAAACAAAAATGTGTCACAAAAAAATTTTCAATTGAAAATGAACCAAAACTCTAGAATTTCTTATTTTTGTACTTTATCTTACAAAGCAGATATTAAATTGTTAATCATTTTCTATCGACGGAAAAAGTTTTTGAGAACAATCTTAGTATGCTTACTGGTAGTTACGGAATTAGATAAAGCATTAGTTATTAGTCTCAAATCCCACAGTATCAGATATGGTGGGTATTGCTTAACTACTCAAAGACGATAGTGAATCTAATTTTGAGCACAAATTTAGTATACAAGTGTAGATATTACTGTCATTGTGAATGTGATTGGAAGAAAAATCCAAATCAATGTTTTTCACATATATCTAGCACAGAAAAGAAGAAGTAAACCATCTTTAGATGAGTATTGTTGATTATTGTTCTTCAATTTAGTTATATGTCCCTTAGTATTTTTTTTAGTAGATAACATAGATGTTATTTGTTCACTTAAAGAAATACAACTGTTTAATTTAATATCAAAATAATTCAGCTAAACCGAGTATAATCCAACTATTTATTAATAAAAGTCGCATTTTGTCACACTGTTTGATCAATTTTGATATAGTGTGAGATAATCAGAATAGTGCTACACTGATAAGAATCTTTTTTCTTTTACATTTGTTCTTCATTATCATCTTCTTTCGCTGTTATCAGATAAAACTTCATAACAAAGCGTTAGTGGTTAAGTGGTCTGTGATAGACTACGAATGATATCTAATTTTGTGTTTTAGAGTGATTTTTCAACAGCGGCTTTACAAGATGAACTGCATATAACATGCACTATTGTTTTTACACACTGTGTTTTTCATAATAATGAAATCTAATCGAGTTTGTTAGAATGAAGAAGATGTCGTGCTAGACTGTACGAATGATATTCTATCAATCTTTTTACTTCACTACATGTATGAGGGAAGTAGCACATGACAGTAAATTTTGAACTATATTATAGTTTTTACGAAGTACCTCGCAGAGAAATTTATCTAAACATTGTGACATGTTTAGATGAGACTGACGATGGGGAATCAGCTTCATTGAGTCAAAGTTCCTCAAAACAGATTGAGGAGCTGTGATACACTCGGTTGTTATCCTAGATTATTTCTTTTAGTTATGTAAAACTGTATCGATTTTTTGGATCTTCAGGAGTACCAATATTAAAACATCGAGAGAATCGTTTGTTTCATCAGTATATGAAAACCACAATAATCGCCAGGAATGGGAAGCTGTGTACAACCATGTTCTCGAAATAGTGTAGTTTCAAATTACCGGTGAAAACAACGATTTCATGAACGGCTTTTCAATCTGTTTTTTTTTAAAGACGACTTTCTTCTTGTGAGTTCTCTTTTTTGCATCACATACATATTTCTATACAAATGCGTTTTCTGAATATACTCATTCGCATCGTTTTTTTCGATAAATCAAGAAATAATCGAACATTTTTCGCGTCTAGTTGCTTATTCCAAAGCTCGATTGTTTCTCCTTATGTCATTTTTAGGAGTACTTCTAAAGAATATATATCTCGTATGAATAAAATATGAAATTCATCAAAATATAGCTGCGTTTCGATTAGTGGAGTATCTTCAAATGATTTTAAAAAAAATCGTTTGTATTGAAAACTACTACACTTCTGCACAATTTTTGTAAATTACATGTTGGCTATTGAAGGTAAAATTTAAATAATATGTAATCGTTATCTTGAATTTTAGTAGGTATTTAATGAATAATAAAGATATTTTGCATTCGATATTAATGTAATTGGAAAAGTAGTCTTTCGACAACTGAAGAAATTTCGAAGAATCATGAAAACGTCTCCAAAAACATGCTAGTACAGCACAAGATTTCTTCAATTAATCTACTAAAATTTGACTATTTTACGAAAAATCCTATATACTTTAAAACACGACATTTCATTGCATAGTTCTTTGATAAAAACATAATTTTGAATTTTCTTTTCAAAAACATGAACTTCTCTAAAGAATAGAATGCTTAACATGAATACCATCTTAGTGAAAAATCACATAAAAGCATTACAAGGAAGATCGTGCCTAACTGTTTTAAATTAGTATAAATTTGGTTCTTTCGTAGAACTACTGAAATTCTAGAAAATTTCTTTTCATGTCGTCTGTTTTTCTTGAGAAACTACAATTCATGAAAACACGCATCAGTTCATTTGATTTATTCTCTCTCTTTTTTAAAACTCATTTGTCTACTAACTTTTTTTTATTGAGTGTGATATTACGTATCTCGAAAACATCGATTTATATTCAAAAAGAAAGTTGATTTTAATATGTTAAAACAAATTTTCTTGCATGATATTGCTATATTCTGTAGTAGTTAATTCTTGCCATTAATGACATTTTATAGGGTCATCATTACAGAATATACAAACTCATAAATTGAGTAAAAGGATTCACTTCCACTGAAACCAACGACTTTAATCCACTCTTGGAAAAGAACAAGAAAAGAAGGATTTCATTAGACTCTGGCATTACTTCAATAATTGAGAAATATGCATACATGGAGATAGGAGTAGTAAAACTAAACGAATCATATTTAATTAAGCAACTATTTCTAAATAGAACGAATGATTAACTGCAGTTAACAGACTGCTTTTGATCGATTACCATGAAATAGATTTTCACCACTTATATTCATAGAATCAATAGTTGCCCTGAAGAACTATCACGATATCGCTTGAGTGCTAACTGAAGTGATGAATAAGAAAACTTGAGAATAAAAAAGATAGACACAAAGAAAGTTCAGCACACAAAAAAGATCACGATAATTGCGGAGTCTATTGACAGATCGATGAATATCTATTATACTTAACAAAACACGAATGTTAATAAAAATTGTTATAATAAACTATCGTAAGCAATAGAACTAATTGGTATGTGAATGAAGCGTGACAATACGGTTTTAGAAACGTTTTCCGAAATGTTGAGTTTTTTCTTTATGGATGGTTGAACAGCATTTGTTTCTAATCATATACGAATGGATGTTAGAGAAGTGCAGGATCATCGTGTCCTACTCTATCTTGTAGATAAGATAGATTAACGGTTAAAAAGTTTTTGTAATTCAATGTATACGGCACGAAAAAAAGCTTACCCTGCACATCTCTCATGGACGCAGGGATGAAAACCTCTTTTCACTTTCACCAACAGATCTAAGTTCACACTTATGTAATAAATGTTCTAATTATCTACTTGACCGAAAAACAGCCATCTAAACCGTGAATTCATTTACCACAATTTAACATGTTTTTTTTATTTAAGATTTTTTCTTTGAGATAGAAGTAGCTGATATCAATGATTCAATCTAACTCTGTTAGAAGAGGTCGAAAATTTGAGTAGGGGATTTTTAAATAATTATTACTATATTAATTGTTAGTTTGGATCAGTTAACACATAATCTCCAACATTCATTAAGTTCATACATATTTTTTACGCTAAAATTCGAATCTCCGATTTTCCTCAATTCTTGTTTCCATATTGCAGATATATGATACAATTCAGTTGAACAGATCAGCTAGAAGGTTTTAATCATTACTTTATTAATTTGCTATTGTATCTATTCATTTGGTTTACTATAAAGCGGATAAGACTGTATCATATGTCTTTCCTGTCTTGATGAGCAACAGGATAGAAGAAAAACCTTCACTATCACCGTATTCAATAGTTAGCTTTGATGCGAACTTACATGGTTAAATCTGTAGAGATTGCTAATTTCTTCATTTATTCTTCTAATATCTTGTTCAGTACAATTGTCTCTCTCCATAATTTTAATTGCTACTTCATGATTTGTTGATTTTCTGTAGGCTGACATTACTCGTCCAAATGCACCTAAAATATATTAAAAATAATAAAAAACCTATATATATATCTATAAAACCATATACCTGTTCCAAGTGTTACACCGGTAAATGCATAAAGTTCATGTAAATCTTTATCTTCATTGTCTTTCCCATATGGTGTTCGTCGAAAAATACTTTTTGTTCGAACCAATGGAGATATAATATCTTGTTTTTTGCTTTGCACTACGTCTGTTGCTGCTGTTGCTCCAGAAACAGGTTCCATACTCGATGCTGGTGTTGTGCTAATTAATGCTTCTCGTTGATCTCGAAGATATGAGTAGAATTGAGCTGTTTCCATTTGTAAATCATGAGAATCAGACTTTTTTCCTACACTGATTACAACTTTATTTGGTAAATGAATTTCGAAAATATCGTCTCGATCAGTCATGAAATGTGTCAAAACGAGATTAGCTATATCAGTTAATGGAAAACATGTTTCCAAATCACCTGGTGGAAGGAATTTTTGTTGTAAAACATTATTAGTTGATAAATTTGCTGATATTCTTAATGTATTTGTTGTAAGACAAAAAGAATATCGTTGATAAAAATTAGCACCACGAATACATGCAGGAAAAATGCCTTTTTCAATGATTGCACCAGATATTGTGGATTGTACATTGTTTTTTGATGCAACAGTTGACATTCTATAAAAAGGTACGATTGTTGTGTGAGGGCCTATTGTTCTATCTGTGGAAGATGTTGAATCGATACCAAATGGAAAAACAAATGTAAGTTGTGATAAAGATGAAAAAGTTTTTTTTCGCGTTGGTGTTTGTTCATTATGACTTGCTACTGGACAGTCATCAAGTAGAAATGGTGCACAATCTCGATGATATGACCTACGACATTTGCGACAACGAAATCCTTGCTTGTAGAAGCCAGGAATAAAACGGGAACATTTAGAACAATTTGTAGGTAAATTGAATTGACATCGATGTAAATCATGAGAATGTGGATCCATTTCAACAGGTACAAGAACTATTTCAACTAAAGAATTTTGTTCAATATCTGATGGCTGAATAACAGGCACCATTGTAAATTCTGTAGTTGGAATTCGAAATAGATAAATTTTAAAACGTCCAGCAAGTTGTCCATTTTTACAATTATTAGCAATTTCACGCAACCATTTTTCTGCGTCACTATATAGTCGTTCAATAATTGAATTGTATAATTCACCAATTGGATATACAATTTGATTTTGATAAAAACCAAATTTTAATGTAATTGATAATGTATTAGCACGAAGAGTTTTCCAAGGATCTGTTGAAGACATTGATGACGATGAAGACGACAAATTATGTGATGGATTATAATGTCTTTTTATTTTGTTTACTCAAAATTCAATATACGAGCACAAACTTTACAGATCAATTGAAAATTTGAAGAAGCTGAGCCGTTTGTATTTTTTTTTAACTCACGAGCCGTCAAATACTTGTTCGATTCCTTCTTTCGTATTCGATAAATACTCTTGCGTTTCTTTTTCTTTTTCGTCTACTCTTTTTTATTTTGTTCTTTAGTAATGGATTGACGTCACATATTTGGCCACGACGCTCACATGGTGACGCATGTATGCGAGCTAGGTGAATTTTTTTTTACGATATATTAGTCATTAATGTTATTCTCCTTTGCTGTCCGTATGTTTATGCTTCATCTTACATTAAAGAATGAAGGAGAAAAGCACAAGAGACGAGAAATCATGAAAACGAAAATAAAGAAAAATAAATATTGAAATTGTTAACAGAAGAAAAAAAGCATCAAAGCCAGGCTTGATGTTTTTCTTGCTACATATATTTCAAAAGTGTGACTGAAAAGAAGCTTCTGTGACTCATTCTATAGCTCTTCCTTTTTTCTTATATTTTCATGAACCAAGGTAATCTGTGCATGATTTATTATAGTCTATTTTACAAAGTCATCCATAAATATCATTTAATGAATAATATCATGCCATTTGAAAACAATTAGTTTGTATAAATAAATATAAAAAACAGTTTTTTATTTTTATACTTCCTCGAAGATAGTCATTGTCATGGTTTTTTTTTGGTAAACATCAATAAAATTCTTAAACAAGCCAGAAGTCACAATAACATTTTTTTTGTTTTTCAAATGAAAATGATGAAATCATATTTGGAGAAGTTTTCAGGTAACTATTAATCTTTGTACTGAATTTTATGCTTGTCATGAAAATTTTACGATACTTTAAGCAGTCTTGTGGCGCATTTTGTTTATTTGGCGAGAAAGGACGGGAGCGCATAAGAAGCCAAATCGGCCCATAGGACTTTTCTCTACCAATCCCATTAAAACATATATCAATTGAAAAAGTATGTCGAGATTAGCATTTTAACACTATTTTCATAGAGTTTCGATCGAATTTTCGAAGCAAGAAGTTATTAACAAAGTAGTTTATTTTTGGTCATTAATTCAATAATCGACCCTATCATAGTCGACTCATTTTTGGAGTAAATTGATTAGAAAAAATAGTTGTGAAATTGAGTATTTGAGAGCTTCTTTATAGGGCTTCAATTCTATATATGAATCAATAATTGATTGTTTGATTTAGTGGAGAGGGAAGCTGATATATTGATAGGCACTGTTGAAATAGGCCTTCTATTGACCATCAACTTTTATTTTTCAGCAAATATTTTGTCATAAAAATGGAAGGTACCAAAATTCTAGTATTGATCATTGGATAGCCCTTTTCAAAAGCTACAAAACTGTACATTTTCTTAAGTCTAAAAAATATGGTCACTAGAAAAATTTCAAGGCACATTGTGCTTGGAGTACGGTTTTTTCATGTTTTTGTCTAATTTTGATTAGAAATGAGCCTTTTTATTAACAAAAATTCTAGCTCAAGCCAAAACTAGTATTAGATCAGAACTCAGCATCGGAAACTGAGTCGATTTATATATATTTCAAATATCTCCGAGAAATTTCATTTTTCTTCATTTTCTCGATGGGTACCCTGAGGGGAGTAGGGACGAATTTTTCGAGAAAAACGAAAATTCTCGAAGATATTTGAAATATATATAAATCGACTCAGTTTTTGATGCTGAGTTCGGATCTGATATTAGTTTTGGCTGAGACTAGAATTTTTGTTGACAAAAAAGGATCATTATTAGTCAAAAATAGGTAAAAACATGAAAAAACCGTACTCCAAGCACAATGTGCCTTGAAATTTTTCTAGTGACCATATTTTTTAGACTTAAGAAAATGTACAGTTTTGTAGCTTTTGAAAAGGGCTATCCAATGATCAATACTAGAATTTTGGTACCTTCCATTTTTATGACAAAATGTTTGTTGAAAGATAAAAGTTGATGGTAAATGAAAGGCCTATTGTAACAGTGCCTACCAGTATATCAGTTCTTCTCGCCACTAAATCAAACAATCAATTGTTGATTCATATATAGGATTGAAGCCCTATAAAAAAGCCATCAAATGCTTAATTTTACAACCAATTTTTATAAGCAATTTATTCGAAAATTGCGTCGATTACGATAGAGTCGATTATTGAATTAATGACCAAAAATGGGTTACTTTGTTAATAACTTTTTGCTTGGGAAATTCGATCAAAACTCTATGAAAATAGTGTTTTAATGTTAATTTCAACATGTTCTTTTAATTAATATATGATTCAATGGGATTGGCCAAGAAAAGTCCGATGGGCCGATTTGGCTTCTTATGCGCCCCCATCCTTTTTCGAACTTGTATAGAAATCTACTGGTAACTTTAATCAGTAATAGAAAATAACTATGAATTGTTGTTGGTCTATAATTTTAGTTTTAATATTACTTTTTAGTCAGATATAGTACAAAGAATGTGAAGCTTTCTAGCAAATAAAATATGAAATGAAAGCATATTATATACATTAATATTTGCTCAAGCAATATCGTGAATATTTATAATGTCTAGGAAATAAAAAGTAGTATCGAAAAAAAATAATTATTACAATTTATAAACCAGCAAACAATGTTATAGTCCTGCGACAAGTAATTACTTGCCCATATCAATTGTTGTGGTTTTTATAGTTCTATATTAAAAAGATTCAAGCTACCATGACTAAGTAGCTATGTTTTTTTTTGATACGCACCCATAAGGTGCTGTGTGCAACTACTAATAATGTAAACCATGAAATGACCGCGAACAAGTCACTCATAGTTATTCGTCTCAGATCACTGACTATGTCGTGACATATATCTGCTTACGTGATTAGTATGTAGTTAATGTGTATGGGTAGTTCACATAACTGAGCACTAGAATTTTCTACGATAGATCAGCTTTCTATTCAAAGCTACAACTGATATTAATCATAGAGAAGATATTAGGCTATTGAGTATACCACTATTTAATATTCTATACCACAAGACAGCTGAAGAGTAAAGCATCTTTCCTCTTCCTTCTCCGTAAGAAAAGCTATTATTGCAATCTCTGTAGGATTCAAATGTCAAACACAATTTAACTATGGTTGCTAATCACAGATATAGATACCTTAATTCCATTTATTTTGGAACATATTTCTTCATCATCTCTTTAATTAATCTTTCAGAAACTCACTATTGAATTACTTCATATATTAGAACAAGATCCTTATCAGCGTATAGTTTGTAGGAGGAAGAGGAAAAGGGGTCTAAACTTTCGCTCCTTTACTTTAATACTTCTTGTAGATTCGTGTTTCACAAAAGACTGTCACTACTCGAAATATTACAGTTGTTTCAAAGATTTCTCTACAGCTAAAATAAATAAATTCATTGTTTTTGTAAAATTTTTTGAGTTTTAGATTAAAGGTTCATTTGTCTTAACGATACTTGTTATGAAATGAACTTCAGATTTGCTACACATTACTAGAACTGACGCCTAAGCATTTGAATGAATATTACAGACCTCAGCAAAGTTAACCTCAATATTCCTGAAATATATTTTTTGTTTTGGTGTATTTATATATTTTTGACAATAGGTCGTTTACATTAGAGTTCTGTGGAACAATCTGATATCTCAGCGTACAATCATGCGCGGTTGAGGAAATCTATATGAAATTCATATAGAGTAAAAAGAAAAAGAGAGAGGCATCAGTAATGAATGTAGATCTGTCCTGTGGATCTCTACTTGACATACAAGTGCTATTCATCGTCATGAATCTCACCAACATTTGTTTTCGATTAATTCTTCTTCAAATAATTTCATAAACTTGTATAATAGAAAATAATTTGAGAACCAATGTGTTTCATATTCTGACATAATCAAATATTAGTTAATATTAATTTTTATTATTTAATTAGTTCGATAAAAATATAACTAATCAATGAAATGAAAAATAAATATAATTGCTAAAGTATTGAAATAGATTGAAGTTGAAACATCAATGACGTATTCATTGATAGTATAAATGTTATCATTGGATATGTCACAAGAAAATATAATACAAATATAAATTTGAATAAGTAATATTCTAAATAAATGATTTTGATTTCAACAAGATTTTATTAAATCAGGATTTGCTATTGTAGAAATAATACAATTTCGTTGATTATGAATATTTCGTATTGTTAAAAAGCCAAATATTATCATAGTGTAAAATCTTTATAACAATCACTCATTGTTTTGTTTAAATAAATAATAAATAAGTATGGCAAACAATAAATAATAACTATACTTTTATTAATTATTATAATTCTTTTTGCAAGATAAATTTAACTTAAAAATCACGATCAAATTTATGATATGAACTTGCAAAGAAAAGAATCTACAAGCACAAATATAGAATAGATTTGATAAAGCAAAAGCAAGAAAATAATAAGGATTTAGTGAAACAAGAATAGCTCGACGACATAGAAAACATATATTAAATATATTTGTTATAATTTCTATTGATTGTAGTATGGAATAAATATATAACCTTATTGAATTTATATTATTTTCGAATGATGAATGTAATAACATGGAAAATATAGTTTTTATTAGTATAGTTTTAAAAGATTTCTTTATTCTTTCAATGAAGTTTTATGATTAATTGTCAGTCATATATATATCGTGGCATTTTCATAACAGAGAAAAATAGAAGCATCCATCGGTGCTTGTTAACTATGAAAGAAAATTATTATTATTATTATTATGTAGAATAAATCTTACGACTGTTTTTATTCATTATCTGTCATTAATTGTTTATTATGAAAAACTGAATCAGAAATATATGTCTACCTTCTAACATTGTCTTTTCTATTATAACAGCTTTCGTCAATGTCGCACTTATATAAGGTAAATAAAACATTGATGTATGTCATC